AAAAGTTGTTAATTCTTTTCTGTGAATAGACATTAGTTGAATTTCTTCTCCAGCTGTCACAAAAATATGGGTAATATATTGTTGTTGCTGTGAGCCATGGAGTTGATTGCAACTCATGCTCTTGTGTTAAGTGATGTCAAGTCAGTTCCAAGTCATAGTGACCCTGTATAGGATTTCTGAGAAGCAGCTGGTGTGTTGAAAGCACCAATCTTGTGCTTAATAGCCCAATGCTTATTCTATAGTGTCACATTAATGCTCCTATGATAAAATAGATCTACCCCATAATATTTTGTTAACTGTAATACTTATAGAAGTAGACCTCCAGGTCTACTTCAGTTAGCAACCAAATATTTAATCATTGTGCCATCAGAACTCCTTATGGCCATAATAATAAGAATTTTCCCTTTATTATAAATTCCCACTAGCATATTTCTATATCATCAAGCTACATAATTAGTTCCTCCCATGATAACACATGTTTAGGAAGCATAGATGGGATTATATCATAGGTTAAGATGTCACAAAGCGAGATCTTTTAGACTTTTCTTAGAGTAAACATTTATCTACTAAGCACTTTGATATTCCATATTTAAGCATTTTCAGGAGTTCCTAGAATTACTTAATCGTATATTCTTATGACTATTTAATCTCTTGAACATTGAGGAACATTTAGGAAACGTATTCTGTATCCCAGTTTACAACTATCATTATTACACATGGTGTTAAATTATCCAGTTTTTCTTTCCACTCCTCAATCATTTGATTCCAGTGGGCCACTATTCTAATCTAAAGAGAATATACACGCAGAATGTTTCTGAGATTCTATGCAAACAAAGTTTGTTGTTGTTGTTGTCAGGTGCCATTGAGTCAGAACCAACTCATAGTGACCCCATGCACAGCAGAACGAAACAATGTCCGATCCTGGGCCAACCTCACTACAGCTGCCACACTTGATACCATCAATGAGGCCACCTGGCTTATCCATCTCGTTGGGGGTCTTCCTCTTTTTCTCTGACCCTCCATCTTACCCAGAATGACATCCTTCTCTAGCGACTGTTCCCTCCTGACAATATGTCCCAAGTATGAGAGGTGAAGCTTAACCATCCTGGCCTCCAAGGAGCACTCTGACTGTACTTCTTCCAAAACAGATCTATTGGTTCTTTGGGCAGTCCATGGCACTTTTAGCATTCTCCTCCAACACCAACAACTCAAAGGAATCAATTCTTCCACAATCTCCTTATTCACTGTCCAAATTTCACATCCATGAGGTTATTGAAAATACCATGGCTTGGGTCAGGTGCACCTTAGTCCTCAAGCTGACATCTCTGCTCCTCAACACTTTAAAAAGTTCCTGTGCAGCAGATTTGCCCAATGCAATACGTCATCTGATCTCTTGACTGCTGCTTCCACGAGTGTTGA